GGTTTGGACAAAATAAAGACTAATTATTCCTCAGATAAGGATTTTGATAAAGAAGAAAATCAAACAAGTTTGAGGTAAAGCAATGTATAGTCCACTCCAGGTTTTTCCCAATACATGTGTTTATGTTAGCATTAAAACGTTAATTTTTGTGCTTGCTTTCCTTCCATTTGATCCTAAGATCCTGAAAGCTTTGAATTCCCTAACACTTTTCCCATCAAAATGAAGCCTTACAAATCATGTATACTAAATGCCCAGCAAAAACGGGAAAAAAAATAATGGGAGAAAAGTGAAAGAAGAGGGGAGGAGCAAGCAAAAACAAAAAGTCAAATTTAAACTGCTTTTTAAACCCAAAAAATACAGACGGCCACAAAGTGTACTATTTAAACGGCTTTCTGGTAAGTTTTAGCTCTTTGTAACCAGACAATGATTACTGATTTTTGGGTTCAGTTGAAAGTGCTTCAAAAGTTGTTTTCAGTGAGAATGCGTTGATTTTAATAAAATGTAGAACCACTGTTTTGAGCATTTTTCTGCTCAATAATGAAGTGCTAAGGGCAGTAATTGCCAAGCTAAATGACTATTCCAGTCCAGAATCATCTTATATATAAACATGTATTAAATGGCTTGGATTTTATGTAGTTTTGAAGTTTTCTTGTTACAGCAAGGAGCCCAAAAGTGTCACCGCCTTTAGTTAACTCACATTCTTTCATACAGACATTAACCAATCAGAAGTCGAGGACAGTGTCCAGCTGACTTGTGATTGGATTAAATCTGCACGCAAGATTTATGTCAGGGGTTTCAGTAAGCATCGAGAGCTGCATGACGAAACGCGTCAGCTACGTTGCTCATAGGAGTCGGCTACTCTTTTCTCGAGAGAAGAAGCAACTAGTTTGAATAACGTTGTAGACAAAAAATATATCATACGATCTGAATGAAAACGTAATTATGATGTGTTTTAAAAAGACCCAGTGGTTTTACGTTATCATGATGCTTTAGTTATGTGAACGCTATATATCAGTGACTTTATGACAAGTTTCTTTATAGGTTTACGCAGAATTTGCTAACGTAAAAAAGTACGTAAGTTAGTTTTCATCATTATTTTGTTCATTGCTTGTAGGAATTGATTGTGTGGCTGATACATTGAAAGCTACATTTTCTTGAGTGAAAAACACGCTCTTTTGTCTTCAAATTTAGTCCCAGAACGCTGAAAATCGCATTTTAGGGCTTTGAAATTACAAAAAGGGGACCAATGGCCCCTTGTTGATACAGTTGGTTATACTGTCCAAACCTGCGGACTACTTCAATTTCTGTTGAAACCTCTGAATGTGAATAAATGAGAAGTGGTCACACTTTTGAGCTTCTTTCATGCTGTAACAACCACCAAAAAAAGAGAGAGAGAGAAAAAAAAAGAGGACATAATGTTATCATAGCCTTTGAATCATACTGTGAAACGCAGTGAAATACCATGAAAGAGAAAAAAAGTTAACATCCTGGTCAATTATATATGACCACCTTTGTTAAGTGTGATGACATAATTATTCCAAAAATTTCGTAGTAGTAATTTAGCAACCATTTAATTAGTGACTTTCAAATTGGTGGCGAGTGTAACAATGAAATAACAAGCAAACAAACAGTTTATTTCTACTTTGTTACCGGTTTCAGTGATTCACCCTCTAATTCCTCAGACGACTCAGATGAAGTTCGTGGTCATCGGAAAAGAAGAAAAATAAAGGATGGAAATAAAAATGCAAAACAAAAGAAAGTCAGGTAATTTTTCTAGAAGATTATCTCAGTGCTATACTTTGTATTGTTATCTCAAACTTCATGTCTCCAGTTGCATGTAAATGGTACTTTGAATCATACTTTGAATCACGGTGAAATACCATGAAAGAGAAAAAAAGTTAACATCCTGGTCAATTATATATGACCACCTTTGTTAAGTGTGATGACATCATTATTCCAAAAATTTCGTAGTAGTAATTTAGCAACCATTTAATTAGTGACTTTCAAATTGGTGGCCAGTGTAACAATGAAATAACAAACAAACAAACAGTTTATTTCTACTTTTTTACCGGTTTCAGTGATTCACCCTCTAATTCCTCACACGACTCAGATGAAGTACGTGGTAATCGGAAAAGAAGAAAAATAAAGGATGGAAATAAACATGCAAAACAAAAGAAAGTCAGGTAATTTTTCTTGAAGATAATCTCACTGCTATGCACTGTATTTGTATCTCAAACTTCATGTCTGCAGTTGCATGTACACGATTATTGACACCAGGATAAGGGTGTAACGAAAGTCAGTCTAACAGCCCGCCTTTCAGGCGTAAGGGATCACCTTAAAGGCACAACCCCATGCAGTACCTGTATGGGAATAACATATTTGCTTTCCCCCCAGTCCTGAGTACCCCAAGAGAGACAAAAATCTGTAACCTGGATCACAACATAATTCAGACTGAATTATCAACCCCTTTTATGGGCCTATTCCTAACCTCCTGTTAGTTACAGCGGTTGATCTGATCCAGTCTGATCCAGGTTTTGTTGACACCTACATGTATATTATAACAATTCTATACAAAATGTACCTATCTGATCTACTGAGTTGCCTACTGTATTATTCCAGTGCACAAGCCTGTAACAAAGGAACCTTAAATTGTAAGAATGCAAACAACCAAGCATGATTCCCCTCTAAACACACAATGTCAATATACCTTTTCAGGCTTATTAATTATTGTAAAAAGAATTATAGGTTCTAATAATTATGTAGGTATTTACTGTTGTAAATTACATGGTGTAAATTAGATAAATAAATAAAAAGTAATAATTACAGTCAAACCATCATCTGTGACCAACTTTGAAAAGTTATGGCCTATTTTTAATTCACATAGCAGTTATAAAGTTAGCAACCACCATAATGGTGATATTAAACTATAGCTAGTTGTAACAAAGAAGAAACCCACAGGTTGTAACTAACATTGTTCAGTGATTTTGTAACCTCTGCGTCCCGCATCCTTGAGGCATAAAAATCCTCAAAGATGCAAAATAATTAATGACATGCGTCGCGTAGGATGCAAAGATAGATCGATCTAAACACGTGTACAGTAAACAGGGGCACCCAACGACAATTTTCGGAAAATTATCTGTTCAGAAGACGATTTGAGGTCTAGAATTTTCGGATCACTTTCTGAAAAATTGCTTGCTTGCCTGCCTCTCCTAGGATTTTCGAACTTCAAAAAAATCGTATAATTGCCCATTTTTAAGGATTTTTACCCTAAAAAGGTCACTTAGAATTTTCGGGAGCCTTTTTTCTGGCTGAAATTTTCGAAAAGGTAAATTTTGCTCCCTATATTTTTCGGATCACTATACTTTCAGCTAGGAAATCCGAACAGATGAAAAATTTTTAGGAGATAAAAATAAGCCTTTATCTACCGTTTAAATACTAAAGTACGTTCAACAATGCTATGTTTATGTGGTCTTGAACTATATTTTCGTTGGGTGCCCCTGAGTAACTACCTGACCGTTCGTTTAATTTCTGTGGCAGTTATGGCTGTTGTTTAACGATGCATAATTATTCCTTTTAGCCTTTGTTGTGCTTTAAGGTATTAGAACTGCTATATACTATTCCATTATTTTGAAAAATTTATTTCTCAGATAATAAAGAATTTTGCACAACAAAAATTACATAGGTCTATCATGCAAGACCTAAGCTTTCAGAAAATTGATGTTCGAGGTGTCAATTTTCACATGCAAAATTAATGTATCGCAAGCTTAAAAAATCAAGAATTGCATATTTCTGGCTTTCCCTCGATAACTAGGAATAAAAAAATTGGAACTGACTTATACTTAGATTGTTCATTAATACCTTTAGATTCCTAGCAGTGCACGGCGATTTTTTCTTGATATAGAGGTGCAATTTTTTTGGTAATGCCCTGTAACTTCCCGCTGCCCCCAAATATTTCAAAATGTTTCCTCGTTAAGGGGAATTTAAGACGTTTTTCCTTAACATTATGTAAATGAACCTGACAAGTTTCAGCGTGATACATTGTGTATAAATCCTCATCTTTTAACATCAATTTGTTTTCAGTGAGGCCCAACGTGGACGCAAAACCGCCCTTTATGTGTAACTACTATTGCAACGAAATCACTGCATATTTTTACCCACAGGTACCCCAGTTCTCCCTCAGATATGGATTCAGATAAAAAGGAATATCATCCCTTGAGGTAAATTTCAACAGTAAAAGGATAGTTCATTATTTACCCTGACATTCCCATTAAAACTTGCTGTTTGGCTAAAAAATATGTGACTCTCTAGATAGACTACTTGTAATACATGTTCATGTATTAGAATAAAGCTTGTCCATGTATATCCGGTGAATTACTTAAAATTTAGCAAAAACTTTGTACAGCTGTTGTGTAAAATTAATATAAAAAAGCACAATGTGGTGAAGTAGTGACATTAAACCATTGCATATTTTACCCACAGGTGCCCCAGTTCTCCCTTAGATATGGATTCAGATAAAAGCGAATGCCATCCCCTGAGGTAAATTTTTCAACAGTAAAAGGGAAGTTCATATTCACCCTGACATTCAGATTATAACTTGCTGTCTGGCTAAAAACTAAGTGAATGTCTAGACTACTTGTAGTACATGCACGTGTATTATAATAGAGGGTGTCCATGTACAGGTATATGGTGAATTACTTAAAATCTAGCAAAAACTTTGTACAGCTGTAGTGTAAAATTTTAAAAAAAAGTACAATGTGGTGAAGTAGTGACATTAAGTATTGAAGTACTATGTTGTTGTTGATCAAGTTTTAGCCCCTCACCCATGATTGCATCAGTAGTGGGTTCGGAATATCCCGTGTGAAATACCTCCATAGAATTTCATGGAATTCGATGGAATTCCATAGAAATCCATGGAGTATCCATTAGGGCTACTGACTGTACATGTAAGTAGGTCTCTGAATCCAGTCAATTAGTCTTACCTCAAGTTTTATTTGCTATTCCTTAGGAGTGATATAAAGACGAATTTGTACAAGGTATCTTTCCCTGGCTATAAAAACTTGATTACCCAGTCTTGCCCGTCCACAGGACAAGAAACCATTTACAACTTCGTAAAGAGGATATTTCAGATGCCAGGAAATAGACGTCGCGAACCTAATTTGGAAAAAATGGTCTTTTGTAATGCAAACGGTGAGTGTCTCAATGTTGGTCGGCCGGTTGGATTACTGTCCACCGAGGAAACCTCTAAATGCTACTTGAAAAGCAAATATCTCGTATTTGATCCAAGTGGCTTGAGTCGCCAGTATGCTGTTGAAAACTACAGTAGTGACTGGAAGTTAAGTTACTTCCAAGTGTTATGTTCAGGGGGAAAGATTGCTCCTGGCGTCAGTGATTTCACAAAAATCAATATTACCAAGATGACGGTTGACTTCTTCAATGATGAGACAATTTTTGAAGCCTTGGTAAGGGACAACAGATTCAAAGAAGAAAAACTTCGAAGTTGTGGCGTAACTTTTAACCAAACACGAATACCTCTATCAGCGAAGGCTGTTCACATCAAGTGCAAGGCCATAGAGATTGTTTTTCTAAATGAGAAAGATAGTAAATTGCCCAAAGCAGTCTCACCCAGGCCTCACCCAAAGTCTTCTGTGACCGCTACAAGTACTAAACCAAAGCTGATAAAGCAAGAAAATGCTCCAGCTACATGTTCAGCATTGCCAGGAGATTCGAGTACTCCAGTGTCAGCAAGACCAGCTCCTAAGACGAGAGATAAGTCTGCCCCGTTGGTTGAGATTACGTTTGACATCAAATTTAAAACACTCACTGTTGGAAAAAATTCAAGGGAAATAATCAAGCGGCGCATATCAGAAAACTTTGCGCTAAAGCAAGGGTACAGGTGCTATGTTTCCGAACATGAGGACCTCATTAAAATAGCTCAATCAGTTGGGGCTATTTTCGTACTGGATCGTCCTAGTCACCCTCGTTTTGTTGGCACCTGTTTCAGGATTGGTAAGGAATACATTATTACCAATAAACATGTCGAGGAGGAAATTCCAAAAATGGCAAAAGACCTCGTTTATGTTAATTTCAACTTTACGAAACCATGTCAGGTGGATTCAAAGCGAAGTTTCATAGACGATTTGGTGATGTCTTCTACGGAGCTGGATTATGCAATATTTAGAATGAAGAAACCTCATGAGCAGTTGCCGCCGTCTATTTTTTCACATGGTGTCAGTATAATGAATCCGGCGAGCCCAGAGAGCAACTGGTACGTGCTGGCTGACAAGCCCCTCAGACTCATCGGCCATCCAGAAGGCGAGCCAAAACAGATAGACCTGATGTGTACTATAAATGCACGTCCTCAGAGTGGCCTTGAGTGTTGGTGTTATACTTTGCGAAGGGGAGAGGTGTGTGAGGGTGAAGCAGTAACAGATTACCATCAAGGCAAGGACCGCCGAAGAAGAACTTACCACACCAGCAACTTTTTTAGCGGATCGTCCGGCTCTCCAGGCATCGTACTTCTAACTGAAAAAAAATGGTTGGTAGTTCTTCACACCAGAGGGTTTAAGAATGACGAGGACAAATTTTTTATCGAACAGGGTGTGCTTCTCACAGAAATATTCAAAGATGTCCAAAAAAAAATCAACGAAGCTCAGCAAGGCCCACTTAAGGATATCAGTGTGGAGGACTTGTTTCCTTTAGTAGATTATGCTACACAACCCTATAGGGGGGAGCCTATGGAACATTGAGCAATGCCCAATCATGTAAAGGACAACCGTGGTGACTTTAGCATCCGTTATTGTAACAATGTTGCTTTTAGTGACCTACACCGTTATTACTAACCTACTTCTCATCGATCCCCGTCGCTGGGAGCGAAATCTCCCAGCAACGGAGAGAAATTAGAGGTGGCTGTATTCGTAGCACAGATAATTACCTAAAATACCATCAGATATGTGACTGCAAGTGTCTAGGTTTAGGAAAAAATATAATAAACTGTTCGTAGTTTTTTTTCTTAAATGATAGTACTACTGTACTCAAGAAAATTAAGTTATGGGTCTTCTATTTAATTAATCAAAAACAGGGAGGGTGGTCTAAATTCTTAAGCTTTCAATATAGCACGAAATGACTTGAGGACAGACTTCCTTTGTATAAGTTTAATAACTTTGAATGACGATTGGAGTCACTAAATGTCACGTGACCTATTAAGGCTATTTTTTGCACAAAAATGGCACCATTTTTAATTACTTTCTGGAAGTTGTAGTTATCGCCATAGTTACGGGATTAGTCGGTACATCATTTCTGTGTCCGGGCCTTTTAAGTTAATCTTTTAGACAGGGACGAAATTCGAAAATCGTTTGATAAGGGGACTGGGTACTAGTACAAAATTCCGTTTATTTACACTTTCAATAAATTATTCAACAAAGCCCGGGCACAGGTGTGTAGTCGTTCATCTAGGGACATTTTTGGTTGTAATTTCTTTGACTGACTGCTATCATAAATTTGTGCCATTTTTAATTTAAGTTTCTTTCGCGCAAAAAAGCTGTTTAATGTCACGTGACCTAATTTACATATTCTTTTGCACGGAATTGCATAAACTTTTGAGAGTCATTATTTTACTCAAGTTTTGTCGCTATAGGCCTTAATCCTCAACATATAGACCACCCCCCTCAACTTTTAGAGGGAAATTGAAAAGAGACCCATGCCTTAATTTCCTTGAGTAAGTATGTATTAAGTTAATTGCGTCGTCAATGTTGGTGTCAACATTGAATAGTATTTTAGATTATGAATGAAGAAAAACAGTTCTTTATTTAGTACGCTATTAACAAATGAGTTGGGGTAGTTAGATTGAAGTTTATAGTTTAGCCAATGTTTGGGTTAGACTTGTTTCGTATCATTTTAACGGCTTAGGTCTGTGTAGCCGCTACAAAAGCAGGGTTGAAAGCAAGCCACAATCTTAAAGTCATTCATACCTATTAATAGAATAATGAATAAATCAAAATAGATCAACTGCAAATATCAGGAATTGAATTACCCGGTGATGCTTTCAAGCATAAATGTAAAAAATCAGTTCACGGTTCTAATATGGTCTTGGTCTATAAAGAAAAAAAAAAACAAAAACAACCAGATGCTATGGAAGCATACGCCTCGGCGTTGTGGATGTGGATTAATTGTGAATGCGGAGGAATAGTAAGAAATGATAGCGGAGTAAGGCGCGCGCGCGGATCACCATAACTAAGATAATTTAGTAAACTATCCATCCTAGAAATTTTGGTTATCAAGTCAGCGTACCTCTGTCCATACGGACTTTCCGGGTAGTGGAAAGTAGTCCGCACGGACTCTTGCGGTAGGAGAAAGTAGAGATTTTTTGGCGGGAAATCGCATGGCGCAACGCCGCGCAATTATATCGCGCAACTGGTTTTGAAAAAAGAAATTTCAAAGCAACTTAGCAAAAAGATTTTTCGACAGAGCCTTTATAACTTTTTATTACAACTTACGAAAGCTATTATTTCAACAAACAACAGCAGAGAGATTTTAGCGTGTAGACGACAGTTTTTAAGCAGAGAGCAAAGAGAAGGTGAACGGCAAAGAGCAAGAGTCAAAACGCGTAGAGCAAGTGAAGACGATCGCCAAAGAGAGCGCGTTAGAACTAGAAGAAGAAGACAAAATTTTAGCGAAGAAAGTCGGCAAGTAGAAAGAGTCAGGGCGAGAAGAAGGAGAGAAAAACACCGGCAAGCAGAACGAGACAGAGCTAGAATGAATAGACAAAGGCAACGCGAAAGAGAAATACAAAGGCAAATAGGAGGGCGGCAATGGCATGATGACAGAAAGTGTTGTGTTAATGTCACTATGGCCCCGCGCTGTTAACATTTTGATTTCAAACTGATCTCGGACGCGAAAATTCAGCCAGTCATTTAAAAATGTAAGCAGGGAAGACAGAGGCTTTTCACTTTTCTCAACATTGTAACGCGTTGATCACGCTCTACGACCGTCCAATTTTTATGCTCTGATTGGTCAAAATTTGACAGGTGAGAAAAATTTATACAGCATCTTGAAACTTGTTTACTTTGACAGCTGAAGCTGACAGAGTTTTTTGCCAACTTGTGATGTTTTTTATTGTCTTTCTCCACCGAATGCATAAAATGAAATACAGCTGCTATCAACAGTCTTTTGTTATTCATGGCTGGTTTGTTTATTGAATTTTTGGTTGAGATATGCGCCGCTTGTCGAAGTTGGAAGTCCGATTTCGGATGACATCGTTTTCGTTTTTCACCTTGCTGGATTCGGGTTGAAAAGTCCCTCAAGCGATTTTGGCCTTACTTGATAGCTTTCAGGAGCTGCATCTCGAATGGTAAGCCTGAGTAATTATTGTATACAGTATGTGGTCCGTGGTCCGAGTCTAAGAGTCATTAACTTGAATATCTTACCCGAACCTTCACGTAACGAGCTGAAATACTCCCTGAAGATAGCTTTTATCTTCCTCTCGATAATCCTGAAGTTTGAAGTTCCAGACGTAAATATTTTGCTTGGAATTCGAAAAAAGGCGACCGTTTTCGATGGTCCTTGGTCCGCGAATGTGGTCCTTGGTCCGCGTCTCAGGTAAGCAGCACGAAAAAAACGTAAAAAATGTTATAGCTTCCACACGCAAACGTGATTTTCACAATATTTCATGTATTTTTTCTCTTCTTGATGCAATTAAGCTAGCTCAGCTAAGTTTTTTTCGGAAGATGTTGTGAGTATAAAATGATCTGCTTTTCTCTCAAAGACTTCAGACAACAGTCTCCTCGAGTCTCCCACACGAGCGTCAACGAGCGGTTTTCAGCGCGGTCGAAATAATTACCAAAAACTCTGTATGTATTCGAGGTATTAAAAAAGAGAACTTGTAGACATTTATAGGGACGATTTTCAAAACATTCTACGAAAACAAAGGCCGTCGCTTTTTATTTTGGGAAGTTTTATTCAACCAAGGTCATAGGTCGCGGACCAAGGACCGGTCCTTGGTACCACTACAGTATGTTGCCCAGTATCCGGACACTTCAGTTTAAGATTGCAATAACTTTCCTTTGTTAATCGTAAGAGCTCTGAAATTTGGCCCAGAGAAAATCTGTCTAGTCCTTAGTATGACGAAAGACAGTTTAACTTTTTTGCCTTTGTTTCCATCGCGAAATTAATATTTTTGCGAAGCTCCTATGTTACCCAGTATCCGGACAGCTGGCCCAGTATCCGGACACAACAGTAACAACGTAACTGCAAATAAATTTCGACAGGCAAGCGACTTATAAGCTTCTCTTGCACTAGCAAAGTAGTCTGGAAGTCGATTCCAAAAATATAACCGAGCATCGTGAAATAAAACATAACAAATGATTGGGCTATGGTGGGGAACGCGAGCGGCTGTTTTAAAAATGGTATAATTCTTACTTCCTTGTCTAGGAACTTTTTCACTGATTTAAGGGAGGCATTCGTGGACATGCCGAAGCCTCAGTTTGCAAGCTCAAATAGCCAATCTGCAAACGACTTTCTTTCTTCATTTTTTATTTTAAAAAAAGCTTGGGGAAGAGACGGTCAAAGGTTACTCACCTAGTTAGTCACCTAGTTAGCAGTGTTGATTTCTTCATGCTCAGTCCCCACAACAAGCCTGCTTTTCTAGCACTAATTCCTCCTTCTTTCACATCTCTCAATCCCTTTGTGACATTTTTCAGACCGTTGCAACCCCATTCTAGCAGTCACAACTGGGGAAAGTATGAGAATTCCAGGTTCAACTCAGACGCTTTCAGTTATGTATAGAAAATGCCGTCACGCAAAACAAGCCGTGCACACGAAATCAAGTCGCCTCTGAATGAGTGAAGAAAATTTCCATACGGAGTTGAGTAGAATTACATTTTACGACGATATCATATATCCTAAGCTTTAATTATAGTTACTGATATGAAATAAATCTTATCCGGATAATGTACACAGCTAATTCATCGATTCTGCACAGCAAAGAAAAAACTGTCCGGATACTTGGCACATAACATCAAAACTTAGTGAATGTTTGTGGCCTCCGTTATTCCAAACAAATCGAATTTCAAGAAGAATTAATAAACTTTCTGAAAATCTGACTTCCTTAAGTATCTTCACTGTAAAAATAAAATAGTTTCTTTGAAAATATCACACATTACCCTCCCTTTTCTGAGCAGCACTAATTTCACTGCGCAGTAAACAGCGTAAATATAAGCCATGAAAGAGTCGATAAAACGAAAAATTCAGAGTCTACAGCAATCCCGGGGGGGACTCCCATATGAAACAGACGGGGATACTCGTCGGAAATTTTGAATTTAACCCCTAAAGGAGACCATCTGGGCGTGGCTCAAGCTTTTTGTGACCCCTAAAGAAGACCAATCTTCTGTTTCTCTTCGCGTAATTCTGTGTTTCTTCGCAGAACCCTAAACGAGACCATGGCGGCTTAAAAAATTTGCACTTTGCCCGGAACACCCTAAGCGAGACCAAAATCCAAAATTTACACCCCTAAGCGAGACGACGAGCATCCTCATATGGGAGTCCCCCCCCCCACCCCCGGACAGCAATATGCTTCCAACAGCAGAAATAAGTTGATCTGAAAACCTGTTCTGCAAAAAGGCACGTCTTCCCGTTGCGATTTATTTATTCGCAGGCTAAGTAAACATGACCATGTAATTTACGGTGCCGCAAAAATCCAAACTTCAAGAAA